ATAAGTATAATTCTTATAAATATTAAGTTTCAAAATTAATTATTATTTTTTTTTTATATGATAAGGAATGAATGTTCCATTTGCTTAAATTAATTTTGTAATTTAATTCGAATTTAAATAGTAGTAGAAATGTTTAATCAAATTTAAATCACTTAAATACTTTAAAATACTTTAATTCAATTGGTATTTAAAAATGGTTATTAATTAAAAATTTTATATGAATAAAATTTTAATAACTCAAAATAATTAAATTTAATTTTAAATTTTATATTCACTTTAAATTTAAATGGAATTCAAATTTTAGAACTTTAACTTTAAAATTTTATTTTAAATTTTTAACTTTTGATTTTTATAAAAATTTTTTTTTTTTTTTAGTGTAGAGAATTTTTTGCTTTTATTTTGGTTTAACTTTTGGTTTGGTTGCCTTCACTTATTCACTATTCACTTAACTTATCATGATGTGGCTACACCTCCTGGTGATCCGGATGTCTTCCTTTTTGTTTCCTACTGGGGATCCTGCGATTCACACTTAGTAGAGGTTGTCCTGCGGGCGTACCTGACAGTACTTGTAGTCCACCGATGGATCAGTAAACTTGTTTTTCACCGACCGGTTACCGTCTTCAGCTTGCAAAATTAATTGCCAAGGAGTCTCTCTGATTTCAGGTTTTATGTTTGGGCCAACGGAGTCGCACAAAAATATTTTAATTATTTGCACTAAAAGGAACTTAATCGTTTTTCCTCGCGTTGGTCCCTGTTCGGGCGCCAGTTAATTTCCAGGATAATAAAAACCCAAAAAATAAGTTTTGAACGTTTGATTTATTCGGAGTTCAATTTGAGACTGATTTTATTCATTTAAAAATTCCCTGATCTAAGCTGTGGGTTGGGGCAGCGACGTCGACGTCGCGGAAGAGACCGCGGCGGTGGCCTAGTTCTGGTGGAGCGGCTGAAACTGCAAGGTTTGCAGAATCGGCATTTTGGTACTGCGCTGTGGCTGCTGACCGGATGCGTGTGTTTATGTTATTGAACTTGGGGGTTCTTGGCGTGTTTATGTTATTGAACTTTCGGGCTCTTGACCGTTGTATTGAAATGTTGCAATGTTGCCATCGACAATGTTGCAATATTTCTCGGAAAAAAATAAAAAAATTTTTTTGTTATTTATATATGCAGCTCACACATGTACATACATACATATCTCTCTTTATAATCTCGAAATCGAACATTAAAAATCAGTGCATATTAGAGATCGAAACAAGTCGAACGTTTTATTCCATTCTAATAACTCTGCATTCGGCAGAGTCCGCACATTTTGGCGACCGTGACAGGACTCTGCATTCGGCAAGTCCCACCATAAACCACTTCGAATCATTCCCTCTGCATTCGGCGGAGAAATAGATTCCATCAACGCCAGAATAATTGGTGTATTTCGGCACGCAGTGCAGCTCATCGGAGTATTGGCAGTGCGTTTGGCATCAGCGTTGGATCTCCGGAAGCATCGTTGGATCACCGGAATCTTCGCCACTGGATCGTCGTGGATACCTGCATACAGGGTATGCGCATCATAACCGTCGCAAGTACAGATTTGGAGACCAAAGAACAGCGGCACAAAGAGGACGAAAAACTGTAAGCTAGACTCGCAAATGCAATCGCGGTTTTGTCATTCCACTCTGAACCAAAGGGCATTGCCCATATACACACATACAAACTTGTGCAGCTGGTCTGCAAATAAATAAGCCAAAAATTGAGTTATTTTCCCAAGCATCGGAGTGTTTTGTTTTCTCCCTCTGAACCAAAGGGCATTGCCAACATATTTGGAATTGCTTCACTCAATAATTACTCCACAATTAGTTTTCGCTAAATAAATCGTTAAAATGACATACTAACCGTGTCTTTAAGACAACAAGAATACAATTCAGCGAAATATAGTTAATCTCAAAGTTCGCATCGAACTGCAGAACGACCTTGCTGCCCTTGAATGCCAGTCACAAATTTTGGAATCGTATTTTAAACAAATTCTTCAAATTCAATCACAGATCGAACGGCTGGATGCGGCTGACGACGGCCGGCAAGAATTAGAGGACGTATTCATAGAAACCAAGGCAATTATCATCACTCGTATTGGGGCGTCAAAGAAGGACCGGCCAGAAGATGCAAGTTTCTTTAATTCATCGGCAAATTGCGCAACTGGGCACCATAATCGTTTGCCTTCGTTAAAGCTGCCTAAGTTCGACGGGAAGTATGGTGACTACATGAAGTTTATTACTGCCTTTACTAGCATGGTACATGATGACGCTTCTATATCAGCTGTTGACAAATTTAACTACTTGCTTAGCTGTTTGTCTGGCCCCGCGCTGAGTGTTGTGGCCCCTTTTCAAGTGTCCGAAATCAATTATCCAAAGGCGTTAAAGCAGTTAAAGGAGCGTTACGATAAAAAGGTTTTGATTTTCATAGAGCACATATCTAGCTTATTTGATATTCAAATTATGAAAAGATCTGATCCCGCAGCTCTTCGTTGTATCTTGGATACCGTCTCCGCGCTGCGTGAATCGTTGTTGTCGTTAGGAACAGAAGCAGATGTTATGAACGCAATACTAATTCATCTTGTTTTATCTAAAATTGATGCAGATTCGAAATTATCGTACGATCGGGTTCAAGAATACGAGGTGTTGCCTACTTGGGAGGATTGTTATCGCAGTTTAAGCCGTCATTGTCAATTTTTGGAGAGCAACGTTAAACGAACATCTGATGAGAAGCCAAAGGAAAGGCCCACGCAGAATAGAAGAGCCTTTGTTACGGCACAGGGTGGTTGTAAAAAATGTTCTGTTACTGATCACTCTCTCAATCAGTGCCCTTCATTTGGTTTACTAGACTGGCAGGATAAATTGAATTTCGTCAAGCAATCCGCTCTGTGCATAAATTGTTTGCGCACCGGCCATTTGGCGAGCAGATGTCCAAGTAGATCTCGTTGCCGCGTTTGTCAAGGCTTACATCATACTATTCTGCATAGAACTGCTCATCCAGAGCAACCAACACAAATTGTCTCCCACACATCTCAGCAGCAGCGGGAACCCACACATGCTGTTTCCATGCTTTCGCGTCATTCGAGGCGCGCTTTAATTCCTACGGCAATAGTATTGATTAAGGATAAGTTCGGAATATTTCAGCCAGCCAGAGCTTTGCTTGACTCAGGCTCTGAAATAAATTTCATCTCTGAAGAGTTGGCCAAGCTCCTTCAGCTCAGATTCGAGAGACAGAAGTATGACATTTCTGGCATAGGCGATGTCAGAACGCAGATGAGATTCTCGGTCTCAACAACTATTCGATCACGATTATCTGTAAATGAATGGCATTTACAATTCGCTGTAGCCAAGACAATATCGCTTAATCAGCCAGAGCGATTCGTTGACACTTCACAATGGAACATACCCTCAGAGATTGACCTTGCAGATCCAGGCTTCTACATGCCTCACCGGATTGACCTACTCATCAGCACACAAGAGTTTTTTGATTTACTTTCACATGGCAAAATTTCTTTAGGTCCAGGCCTTCCTTGCCTGGTCAATACTGCACTTGGTTGGATCGTTGGCGGAAAGGTTTCTGATATTCCGCAATCCCAAGTCGTAACATGCAACATGGCACGTTCTACGGAGCTGCAAGGTGCATTAGAAAGGTTTTGGCTAATCGAGGAGTTTGATTCGCACGATCAAGGTTTCACCGCAGAAGAGCAGGAATGCGAACGACATTTTGTGGCAAACACAAGGTTTCTCACATCTGGACGAGTCCAAGTTTGCTTGCCATTTAAGGAGAATCCTCACATGTTAGGTAAATCTTTTGAAATTGCCAAATCCCGGTTTTTGCAAAATGAACGGAGGTTGAGCCGCAACCCGTTGTTAAAGGAGATGTACGTTCAATTCATGAGGGAATACCTAGATTTGAATCACATGCAATTGGCATCTGATTTCGACTCTCAAAAGACCCATTATGTAATCCCGCATCATGGAGTCCTGAGATCAGAAAGCACGACTACCAAGCTGCGTGTTGTGTTTGATGCATCGTGCAAAACAACGTCGAACCTTTCTCTGAATGAGTTGTTGATGATTGGCCCAAGCATCCAGCAGAATCTTATCCTAACACTTCTTGCCTTTCGCTTACATCGTCATGCACTTGTAGCTGATATCTGCAAGATGTATCGCCAGTTTGAAGTATCACCAGACGATCGTATGTATCAACTTGTTCTCTGGAGAGAATCCTCAGCTGCGCCTTTAGAATTGTTTCAGCTCAACACTGTCACGTACGGCATGTCCTGCGCACCATTTCTAGCAATCAGGAGCTTGAAATATATTGCAGATAAGTTCTCAAATCAGTTTCCCATCGGAGCAGCCGTACTTAAAGAAGATATGTACGTCGATGACCTCCTTACTGGAGCAGACAGTGTCGAAGAGCTTCATCTCAAAGCTACAGAGGTCACCAGCATACTTTCTAAGGCTGGATTAGAGCTTGCAAAGTGGAACACAAGCAAAATAGAAGGCAACGGAGCAGAGTTTCAATTTAAGGTTGATACCAAAGATGTTACGAAGACTTTGGGCATGTCGTGGCAACCAAAACTAGATGTGTTTTGTTTCAGGTATACCCTACCTACAATCTCTGTCGTCACCAAGCGGAGCATCGTTTCACTTGTAGCTCACCTGTACGATTTGCTAGGGCTCGTATCACCAGTCGTTATTCGATGCAAAATATTGGTCCAAGAGTTGTGGATGCATCGTCTAAACTGGGACGATCCACTTCCCCCTGAGCTTCAATCTCAGTGGAAGCGAATAGAAGAAGATTTGCACAATCTTCAAACCATCGAAGTTCCAAGATTCATTAACTCGTCACCTAAAAATCTATCGGAAATACACGGATTTTCAGATGCATCGCAGCGAGCTTATGGCTGTTGCCTATATCTACGAACATACATAAACGGAGAGTTCAAATCAATGCTAATCATCGCCAAGTCTAAGGTGGCCCCAATAAAAGCAATTTCATTGCCGCGGCTAGAATTGTGCGCCGCATATTTATTGTGTCAAACATGGGCCAAGATTAAGCATAAATTCGAAAAATACATTGATAGTATTTTCTTTTGGACAGATTCAAGAATCGTTCTACAGTGGCTTACCATGCACTCGTCCAGGCTAAACTGTTTCGTCGCTAACCGGATTTCTGAGATGCAATCAACCACGTCAAACATCACTTGGAGGCACGTTCCGGGCAAGGACAATCCCGCGGACATAGTTTCAAGAGGCTGCGCAGCGTCCGAGCTTATGGAAACTATATGGTTTCGTGGACCAAGCTTCTTACGTCAAGACTCATCTGGATGGCCTCAACCAGTACCAAATTCTCAGGACACCAATGAAGAGTTGGAGCTGCGAAAAGCAACAGTCCTCACATGTACCGATAGTGGAAGCAAGGAAGATGTATTCGATGAAGTTATCAACAAATTCTCATCCTATCGGCGCATTTTGCGAGTCATAGCTTTTGTGTTGCGCGTCTTTAATAGAATCAAGGTCAACAAAAAGGTGAACTTAGTCGATGTAATTCATACACCAGCAACTGAATTGCAATACGCGTTCAAGCACATCGTATCACATATTCAGCAGAAGACCTTTTTCAACGAAATCCAGCAGCTAAAGGAAAACAGGATTTTAAAACCCGAATTTCAGAAACTAAATCTGTTCCTAGCAGCGACTAACGGATCAAACGGTTCGATAACACTATTACGTGTAGGAGGCCGCTTAGCCAAGGCGCCCATTTCACTCGATGCCAAATTTCCTGTTCTTCTACCAAAGAATCATTGCTTCACGTTGAAATTTGTTGAGTATCTCCACCGGCATCACATGCACGCTGGACCAAAGGCTCTCATTGGAATCCTGCGACTTCAGGCTTGGATTGTAAACGCCAGAGAAGTTGTGCGAAAGATTGTACGGCGCTGCACACACTGTTACCATTATAAGCCTCGTTTAATGGAACAAATGATGGGATCACTTCCAGTTGATCGCTTTCATTCACAACGACCTTTTTTGTAACTGGAGTCGACCTATGTGGACCATTTTCCACATCATACCGCATTCGAAGCAAGGTGCCATATAAAACATACATGGCCGTGTTTATATGCTTTTCGTCAAAAGCAATCCACATAGAACTCATTTCCGATCTATCTACTAATAATTTTATTCTCTGTTTAAAGCGCTTTGTCAGTCGCAGTGGCATCCCACTACGCATTTATTGTGACAATGCAACTAATTTCGTCGGTGCACGATCGCAGCTCGAGGACTTTAAGCAGCAGCTATTTGACGAAGCCAACACATTGAATTTGCAGAAGTTCAGCAGCATCGTGGGATTCGAGTTCAAGTTCATCCCTCCGCGTGCTCCCCACTTTGGCGGCTTGTGGGAGGCCGCAGTGAAGTCCATGAAGAGCCTAATGATGAAAAACTTGGGCAACACTGGGCTAACGTACGAGGAGCTTCAAACGATTGCAATCGAGTCGGAGGCAATCTTGAACTCAAGACCAATGGCACCCCTTTCCGAAGACCCAAACGATGGAGAGGCGCTTAGCCCAGCGCACTTGCTGATTGGGTCCTCTTTGATGTCCGTACCGGAGCCTTCAATTGACGAGAGCAGACCATCTTATCTTACGCGGTGGCAGCGCGTAACGTATTTGAAGCAGCAGTTCTGGGAGCTATGGAGGCGTGACTATTTACACACGCTTCAGGAGCGCTCCAAATGGCTCAAACCCCACGCCAACATTCGAATTGGCCAAATGGTGATTGTTCACGAGGATAATACACCTCCCCAGGAATGGATCCTTGGTCGCATCACCAACACGCATGTCGGAGCTGATGGACGAGTACGAGTGGCCGAGATCAAGGTGAAAAATGGAACCATTCGAAGACCCATCTGTAAGATAGCGCCCCTGCCTGAGCAAACTGGTGCTTGAATACTCCTTGGATCATTCAACGGGCGGAGAATGTTCGATGACATCATAAGTCAACATTAATTTTGATTTAATTATTATTATTGTTATGAATAACTTCGTTCAAGCTGATTAATAATTTGAATTCTTTGCCAACTTGTTATATTTAATTACCCCACACTGTAATCATATGCTTATGTTTTGAATTCGCCTTACGCTCTTTTATACATGCAGCTCACACATGTACATACATACATATCTCTCTTTATAATCTCGAAATCGAACATTAAAAATCAGTGCATATTAGAGACCGAAACAAGTCGAACGTTTTATTCTATTCTAATAACTCTGCATTCGGCAGAGTCCGCACTTTTTTTTTTTTTTTTTTTTTTTTTTTTTTTTTTTTTTTTTTTTTTTTTTTTTTTTTTTTGGTTTTTTTTTTTTTTTTTTTTTTTTTTTTTTTTTTTTTTTTTTTTTTTTTTTTTTTTTTTTTTTTTTTTTTTTAAATGGGCCCCCAAACGGTAAAGAAAAAAAGGAACAGGGGGAGAGGGGGACGGACGGACAGACGGACAGACGGACATGGCTATATCGACTCCCCTATTGATCCTGATCAAGAATATATATACTTTATAGGGTCGGAAACGTCTCCTTCACTGCGTTACAAACTTCTGACCAAAATTATAATACCCTCTGCAAGGGTATAAAAATGTTTTTATATATAATATATGTATTATAATTTTGGTCAGAAGTTTGTAACGCAGTGAAGGAGACGTTTCCGACCCTATAAAGTATATATATTCTTGATCTTGATAGCCATGTCCGTCTGTCCGTCTGTCCGTCCGTCTGTCCGTCCGTCTGTCTGTCCGTCTGTCCGTCTGTTTCAATACCGTTTGCGAGCTCAGTTTAAAAGCTAACTTTCACAATCGTCCTAAAACATGTGTACGCAGATCAAGTTTGAAAATCGCCCAGATCGGACGTCTATATCCTATAGCTCCCATAGGAACAATCGGATATAACTTTCAAGAATGGAAGATATTTCGCGCAGTGTAAAAGCTATTGACATAAATCTTTCCAAATCTTATTTTTTTATGCGTACCTTGATCAGAGTAAAAGCGCGTAACGATCGGACGGCTATATCCTATAGCTCCCATAGGAACAAAAGAGTAAAATCGGTTAAAATTTAATGATTTTTAGGATATTTCACGCAGTATACAAGCTATTGACATGAATCTTTCCAAATCCTATTTTTTTATGCATACATTAATCAAGGTGAAAGCGCGTGCCGATCGGACGTCTATATCCTATAGCTCCCATAGGAACAATAGAGTGAAATCGGTCCAAATTTGATGATTTTCAGAATTTTTCGCGCAGTGTGTAAGCTACTAACATAAAATTTTCCAATTCTTATTTATTTACGCATATCTTGATTAGGGTAAAAGCGCTTGCCGCTCGGTAGTCTATATCTTAAAGGAGATAGGAAAAATTGTTAAAGGCTGCGAAAGTATCCCTGTTTTTCTATTTGTATATGACATTTTTGCAGTATAAAAGCAATTGACTTGAAACGATGCAAATCTAGTTTACTTATGTATACCTTATTCCTTTCGCTACTTTTTCACTTTTAGCAATTTCGTCAAAGTCTGCAAGGGTATTAAAACTTCGGCTTGCCGAAGTTAGCTTCCGTCCTCCTTTGTGTTAATTTTGGGATTGTCCGACTATTCGTTGAGCGTTAAATATCAATATAAGCCTAGTATCCAGTTCGACAAACGATTACGCTAGCGTAAAAACTTTAATCTTTCGAGTGTGACCAAAATTTTGAGAGTTCATCAGATTTAAGCGTGCTACGGTCGTACTGTCAATCAGATGGGTTTGTTGACAAGCAGTTAAAATTCAAATTTCGTATTTGCGGGAAAGAGCCTTTAAAAGATATTATCAAATACCTTGGCAAGACAAGTCTGCCGCTGTACAAAGAAATTGAAAAACAATACAATTTAAATTTAACAGTTGTTTTTTTTTAATTTACTGATAATTATTTGCTAATTTAAAGTTCATAGCTGCACTTTTATTGTGTTTTTTCTTACATTCTGGACCTAAAAAACATTTGGCTCTGACAAGAGCCAAGGTATTTGATAATATCTTTTAAAGGCTCTTTCCCGCAAATATGATATTTGAATTTTAACTGCTTGTCAACAAACCCAGCTGATTGACAGTACGACCGTAGCACGCTTAAATCTGGTGAACTCTCAAAATTTTGGTCACACTGGAAAAATTAAAGATTTTACGCTAGCAGATCGACGAAAACTGTGCGCCAGTCATGAGAGAGAGCGAGAGGCAAACAGCTGGCGTTCACTTTTTGTCAGGCCTTTCTTTCACCTCGGTACTTAGATCGACGAAAAAAATATCAGCAAATTTCATAGCGTTGCCTGTCTGCTGAAATGAACTTTGGGTGAACCCTAGCGAAAAGAATAAAAAATTTAATCTTTTGGCGTGCGCTTCTCACTGAACATTTTATAAAATGGAGGGAAAAAATAAAAAAAAAATTGCAAAAGTCGATTGCAGGATTTTACATGTGAGGACAAAATAACATTAATACTATCTGGTGTGCCTCTTGTCAAAGCAAAATGTTTCTTAGGTCAAAAATTTACGAAAAAACACAATAACAGTGCAGCTATGAACTTTAAATTAGCAAATAATTATCAGTAAATTAAAAAAAACAAGAGAGAACGCTATAGTCGGGTGCCCCGACTATCAGATACCCGTTACTCAGCTAAAGGGAGTGCGAGGGAGATGGAGATAGAAACTTTGATCACGCATAACTTTTTAACGAATGGTCCGATTTGAAAATTTCTTCTACATTTCGATAGGTATTGATAAACACAATAAAACTGCGTTTTTACTTTTCCGAAATATTTAAATTTTTAAAATCGTATGTGAGCGATTGTGGGCGTTAAAGGGGGCGTGGCACCATTTTGAAACAAACTTGCGCTGCGTAGGAACTTCTAAAATCTACATGCAAAATGCCAATCTTCTAGCTTTTATAGTTTCCGAGATCTCAGCGTTCATACGGACAGACAGACAGACAGACGGACAGACAGACGGACAGACGGACATGGCTATATCGACTCGGCTAGTGACCCTGATCAAGAATATATATACTTTATAGGGTCCGAAACGCTTCCTTCTAGCTGTTACATACTTTTGCACGAATACAATATACCCTTTTACTCTACGAGTAACGGGTATAACAACTGTTAAATTTAAATTGTATTGTTTTTCAATTTCTTTGTACAGCGGCAGACTTGTCTTGCCAATGTAGTTGATAATATCTTTTAAAGACTCTTTCCCGCAAATACGATATTGGAAATTGAACTGCTTGTCAACAAACCCAGCTGATTGACAGTACGACCGTAGCACACTTAAATCTGATGAACTCTCGAAACTTTGGTCACACTGGAAACATTAAAGTTTTTACGCTAGCGTACTCGTTTATTGATCTGAGTACCAGGCTTTAACGAAAATGTTGAGTTTTTATACCCTTGCAGAAGGTATTATAAATTTGGTCAAAAGTGTGCAACGCAGTGAAGGAGACATCTCCGACCCTATAAAGTATATATATTCTTGATCAGGATCGCGTCCTGAGTTGATATAAGCATGTCCGTCTGTCTGTCCGTCTGTCTGTTTCTACGCGAACTAGTCTCCCAGTTTTAAGAATCTCGAATTGAAACCTTGCACACACCCTTGGTTCCTTTGCACGCAGTATACAAGTCGAAACGGCCGGGATCGACCGACTATAACCTATACCCGCCATATAACTGATTGATCGGAAATGACATAACATTGGGTTTTGCGAAGTTGGGAAGTTGGGATTTTCTATGGGTTTTATTTTTGACCAATCAATCCGAACTATCTAATTTCATAAGGATCGACCGACTATATCCTGTAGCCGCCCTATAACTGATTGATCGGAAATGCCATAACTTTGTTGTTTTTAATCGGATTTGTTATGGTTTTTGGCCAACCGATCCGATTTTGGAGAATATAATTTACAGAATATTCTGCAAGGGTATATCAACTTCGGCTCCGCCCGAAGTTAGCTTTCCTTTCTTGTTTCTTTTGTTTTGGAAGGATAAAATGTATCTTATAAATTAAAAAATTTTTAAAAATGATTATTTTTTTAAGTGTTTAATATACTTTTAGCGCACATTTATCATAAGAAGATTAAGCGATGGAGTCACTGCATGTTGAAGTAAAGACACTTGCTTATGTAATTTTCAACTATTCTTGTTTCTGTGCTGGTCTATAAAAATATAATCTTATATATTAAACAGGTATGCATTGTCTACCGGCATAAAAAATGTTATGTCCCTATTCAAATGATTTTTATAACAAATAAATTTAAACAACTCTACAGTAATAAATACTTTATTTTAATTAGTAAAATGAATCAACCGTAAAAATGTGAAATACTTTTTTTTAACATACTAAAAGGATTTTAAGAACCAAACTCTTAAATTCATTATTAATAAATTTAAACAACTGAAGAAAATTTAAATACTTTTTTTTTTAATCACTAAAAAGATTTTAAGAACCATAACTCCTAAAAGAAAAAATTAAAAAAAAATTTTGTCACACGTTTTGATATTATTCCGTTTGCAAGATAATCAAGATGTTCTTTTTAAAATTTCTCTGCGGAAGAGTGCGGATACTTCTAGGAATTTTTGGATGGAACCTTTAGACGCCACTATGACAACGTAGTTATGAACAAGCGTGAATACTGCCTCCAGCATTTTGATTTCGCTGACGATATCCACAACACAACATCTATTCGAATTGTACCCCACAACCTCTCATTAACCTTTTGAACGTCTATAACCGATATGCTCATTTCCTGCAAGCAGTTTTCTTGACTGAGGCAATTGCTTTTCTTAATCCATTCTTAATAGAACTTAAAATGTGTAAAATGGAAAAAATAAAAAGTGTTCTTTTAAAAAACTATTGAACAAGTGTCACTTTTAATATCTTTCAAATGGAATCTTACTTAAGCGTTGTTTTACCTCTAAGTGGCTGTAATATTATTATATAAATACACAACTCGAAATGTTGAACTTTGAATTAAGTATAGAGTTGTAGTTACTTCGGCGATTTGAAATTAGC